TCTATGTTTGTATTAATTAGGTAATCCAGTGAATGAGCCCATCATTTTCTGGTGACAGTTTAGGGAATTTGAACATAAATTTTTGAGCCTACTATTCTTTACCTTTGTTATTCCTCTTGTTCACATTATTGAATCCATCTATACCATTCCATACTGCAGAGTCAAGGAATTATTTTGCTAATCGATATCAACATATCAGCATACTGATACACCGAACAAATCTGAGTAGTTCTTGCTCGTCAAATCATACAATTTACCGATACTGCAAATCACATTATACACATTCTGAAGTATTCTTACCTCCCAACAGTAGACGAGTAATTCGCTTCACTAAAACATGCCATGAAAAAATCCTTATATCATTATTAGTTTTCATAAAATATATGAATATATCTACAATGTGTATGTAAATTTTGAATGTGGTACTTAAATTTGAGCATTATGTACTTAACATAACTCATGGTTTTCACCTAGATATAGCAATTTAAAATAAAATCAAGATTTACGATTATTTAAACTCGCCGAATTGTATATTTGAGACATAGTCTGATTACACGATACTATCTTAGATGATTGAGTTTTTTTAATTTTCTTAAATTCTATTTCAATCACCTAATTAATAACTGAGATTCACACAATGTTTCTTTTTTCGCGTATATCACTTATTCAATTTTTGTCAAAATACCATTTCATAATGACTAGTTAATCTCAACTTTACCAGCATACTGGTTTCTAAAACAAGTTATTTCTATTGCTCAATAATACTACTAAATGGCTATATAGTAGTGTTTATTGTGTAGTAGTCCTTCTTATATTTGGAGTAAATGTAAAGCTCATTCTTTCGCATTATATTTCTATTTAGAATTCTATTGATCGTATTTTTATTCTGTTTTTGTGTGTAACATTGCTGTTCACGTTGACTTCTTCATGTAAAATAATTACTTTCATTATGTCCGGTGTTATATTTATTTATAGACTAAAAACTTTGGATTTGGTTTATTGGATGGAATTGATCCTAATCCAAATAATGTTGTTGGTGCAGGTATTGTTGTAACTAGTAGTCAACAAGTCGGTGTACTACTTCGATTGGAACCAAATACACAAATAAAGGTATATTTTTAATTATCGAATGTACCCTCCTAATTAATACATTAATTTTTGTTAAAAAGAATTCCTAACATATTTGATAGGTATATACGCAGATACATATTCTTGGCTTTCAGCTGCACTGTTATTTCAAGACCTCATGATACTAGTCGGTTGTACAAACCAAACTAGGTGGAAGGGATTTTAAAAATGGAACTTGGGGGATGAATGCCTATTTATGCATGCTATCAAAAGGATATTATTGATTGTTTATTATGCCAGAGAGATTAGTATAAATGAAAGCAACTCAGCAGACTTTTCCCGTGATCAGTTAGGATTCCTCAAATACTTAGTTGCTGCAGTAAATTTATATATTTTTTAATCAATTACTTCTATAATAGTAGTTAATCGGTGGAATACTTTTATAATAGATACATAAGTTACGTTTTTTTAGCCTAACTATCAAATGTAATTATACTAAAAATGAATTTTCTTCCTGTTTACATTTTTTTGGCGGATACTCTACGAACAATATGTAGTCGAAACACTTATAATCTTCTAGATCGTTAGATTTATTTTGTTGTTACTTGAATATTGGTATGCTTGGTATGAAATGTAGAACCTCGGTTTCTTGTTTGTTGATACCCGTCAACATAGTACTTTATACGGTAGTGCAACGTAATGATCAACTATTAATTATTGAGCATGACTCTGTGCCAATGTCTTTGTGTTGACGAATAATGATAACATCGAGCTACCTAAAATGACTTACATGAAGCCGGCTTTCAGTCTACTGTAGCTTCAACCTTGAGGCGATTGATGCTTCTTGGAATACAGGACACTTAAAATAGTGTAGCAGTTGTAGATGTTACACTTTTTAGATATTTGTATGGTCATTTAATTTTGTGACTCCTTTTAAACTGTTCGTTAACCGAGTACATAGGCATTATATATATATACAGTACCAGTCTTTGCAGTGATATGATTACTGGAACAGATTTGCACTGTGTCTGAAAGAGTTTTTGTGATGAACTCTTGAATATTCGTCTTTTAAAACTGTACATTGATTACTTTATGGACTTTCACTCTTGGTTACTTGGTAATATTGATGTTACTATAAGGTTGGAATTATGTTAATGTGTTGGGGTACTGTCTAATTAATAACCTTTAAAATCATCCTCTTTTCTTGTTTACGATTCTCATTTATGTTCTTGAAATATTTGAAAATTGTTATTCATGTTTGTGCATGATAAAAAGTTGACCAGATCATTTATTAAACACTATTTATTATTGTCGAGTTCTTTCTTATAACCTTTATAGATGACTAGTGCGTCATTTCGCGACAGCATGACAAACATTTATTCTACACTCATCATACTACTTATTTTTAAAAACTAATATAATTATAAAATAGAAATTTCGGAGCGATCATTTGTTAGTGTACTAAAATACTTTATTTTTAGTGAAATTACCCTTACCTATAGGAAATTCTTTGAACAGTCGTTTAAATACAATTTCGTTTCACAATTCTGAACTGAAATCATTGTTAAAACAACCGAAACACGAGATTCATTCTTTTGTTAATTTGGCGATGTGAAACCTATTATCTTCAAACTCGAACTTTTAATAAGATATTTAAATTATTCGAAAAAATTTGAGGCATTGGTTATTACTGTATATTTATTAAATTACTGGACTACTGTATTGCTGTGTACTCGGTATTATGAGCTTACTTTAAACATACTGAATTTTGTTACACGTTTTAATATTCCTTAGTGATTGTTAACCACTGTTTACTTCGTTTCTTGTTACTTATATCATGATTGTGTATAAAGGATGATTTATTTATTGGGGGGGGTCAATATAATAATTCTTCTAAATAAGCTAATAAATGTTTTTGTAAATATACTGAATGCCCGGATATCGTGATAGAAGCTATCTTGGTTTGTTTGTTTTGCTATTGAAACTCGAAACCGCGAATGTTAGAAGGCGTGTGTGTCATTGGAACTAATAAGTTATAATTAACTGGACCTCAACGCAAAGTTAATGTTGCCAATCAAAGCTTATTATTGTTCAAGATTTAGTACGATAAGTTATGGACAAAACAGTGTACTCTACGTAGAAATACTATAACCAGGGTTCTTATTGGTACATCTTTCTCTAGATATCAAATAACGTTACAGTCATAATAGTTATTGATAAATAGTACTTGATAAATAAGTTACATTATTCTGATATAATTTAATTCAAATAACTTTTCTCTGTTATTAATACACAAATAGGAAATGTAATATTAATACAACGTTCTTGATTAAATGTGAACTAGATGAAAAGATTAATCAAATAGATCGCAATTTGATTGTTATAATATAAAATGATGTTCATTACTTTCTGTATGTACAATGTAGAGGAATTTTAATTCAATTGTATCATTACGGATAGTTTTCATTTCATCACAGGTTTTTATAATACAATTAAGCCTAAATCCCTTTATCAATTGGATGTTTTTCCTTGATCTATGTACACTACCAACTACACATAACTGGTCTTACTAATTACCGCTTTTTTAAATTAATAAATTAAAAATCTTTTTTCTCGTTTCCTTCTCATTTTTTATTTTAGATGTATTGCCTTACTATTCGCAGTACAAGAGAAATCGTCTCATCTCATTTAGCCAAACTCATTGAACAATTGATCTAAATTGAATAGTTGTGTCATCATTGTTAGTATTGTTGTTTATATTCAATTAATACTCTGATCAATTTTAATGTATCTATGATGGACCAATTCAATGGAACATTCTTTATAATTTATATTGCAATGTGGTTTCATCTTGGCAAAAAATAGATTTATAACATTAATAATGTTGATGACGATAAGCAATGAGAATTCTTTATCATTCCCATTATATATATATCGTTGTTATTAATGTCGTTGCCGTTGTTGTTTTCTCTTTTGATAAAACTTTCAAAAGCATAAGGCAAATATGTTTTCTACTTTGTCCTTAGAATAAAAAAATCTCTCGCTAGTTTTACATGCACATGTGTATGTGCATTCCTGATTGAATTGTATTTAATTTACTCATTTCTGTTTTATGCTAGGTTTTCTTTCATCTTTCTCTCTATGCCTATCCCTCTTCTGTACTGTTTGATTATTTAGTTTAACTTATACCTACCTGTCTACTTAATTACTTGTAGAATATTATTTGTTAGTTAGTTTTCAATCTGTTTATGATTATTTTAGTCATTACTTGTTTATTATTTCATGGTATTCTATGATAATAGTAATAATAACAATGTTCTGTTTTGCGTGTTCGCCATATTATGACATTTAGTCATCATAATCATCATCGTTGTCATCTAATTTCAATGAGGATTATTTTTTGTTACCATCTACTGATCATTTATATTCATTCAGCCACTGATACACGTGTTAATTGGCTTCACCAAATTCATTAATCAATCACTCCACATTCATTGTGATTTATTTTGCATTTCTATAAATACAAAGTTAGACAATTAATTTTTTTTTAAAAAACAAAAATTATAATTATTTCCAATTGTTTGCTCTATTATAATTGTCATCGTTTCACTACACTGATGATGATAATAATAATTATTATTATTATTATTACTATTATTATTATTATGGAAATTATCAAACAATGTGATTCTTTTTTTCTCCTCCTTATTTATCTTTGTTACTGTTGCTTTTATGTTAGGATCCGAAAGTATTAAAGCATACTATTTATTGTTCGTGATTTATATATATATATATATATATATATATATATATATATATATATATATATATATATATATATATATATATATATCAATTTTCACTTAGAATTACAGTTTTCGTTTTGGAATCATTGAAACTGTTGTCAATGTTGTGTATGGAAAAATGAGTGGATGGATGTGTATAATGTATGTTTGTTCGTCCAATTGTTGATTATTAGTTCATTTTCATGGCTTTTGATTTTACTCAATAAAAATATTCACTGTGTAGTTGGGATTAACGTGGTTGTTACGTCGCTGATTGATCATAATACATATTCTTAGTATGTTTGTTTCAGTTACTGACATTGAAACGTCAACAACCATAATCGTCCAGATGATATTGTCGAAACTACCGGAAATCAGTATTAGAAAACAAGTACTGGTTTAATGTGTTTAGAAGATAAGAAGTAGATACTTTTATATTTTTTCATGGCTCATGATTAAATGAAATATTTTATGCTTTATTCCAAATTTGTTTCCGTACATGTTAGACCACCATCAATTTATTATAATCAACGTAGAGTCTACTGAAAATCTGCATTAGTTTAAGTTTTTATACTGAAGCACGACTAAATGAAAATCGGTAGGAAGGGAATAATAGTGGTAACAGTGATGATAAAAAACTAATCATTGAAAATATGGTTCCTAAAGATTGACTGGAAGTCAAGTTCTAGAATAAGGTAAGTGCGTTTGTTCTGTTGTAATCGATTCTGAGCCATGCCACCCGACGTATTCAACCACTGATTGCGGTTATCCCGGTGACCCTAACTAAGCATTTTGAAACTACTAAAGTTCGTAATTTTATGAACTGACCACACTACTATGTAGTTGATAAGGAAATTTTCACACCATTTCAGTTATATGGATATTCACATCGTCGTAGGCTGAATTAGTTTCTCGAATTATTTGCGTAACTGTTGTCAGTTGTTATTGCGTTTAAAAAGGTATTACAGTTTTCACAGCATCACGGTAAGTCACTGGTAGTTGTTATGGTTTTTTAAGAATCTGAATTCAGTATATTTAACTGTCAGAAAGTTTGTGACATAAGCTTGCGCTATATTGCTTCTACAAATTAAAACTTATGAAATTACACACAAATCAAACACTCAATGCTTAATTCGGAATTTATATTTTATTCTTTTTTAAAACAAGACAATCCAATATTGAGATTGAAAATTGTCTTCCATTGACCTATACTTTTGTTTTAGAGACAAGTTAATAATTGGCATTCAATTCCTGTAGATCCACAGGATTTCAATTTGTTTTCGACTTTAAATAGTGGTCAAGCTTTCCGGTGGGTATCGCTTTTTTAGGGACTTAAGTGAATTGTATTTTTCCCAGGGAACTAATGGTATTGATATTATTTGTATTACAGCGAAATAGGGAAGTTGAAAATTTTGTTACATGGGATCTTATTCTAAAATGCTTAGAAAACTTTGTCGTAAGATTTTGGTAAAATACTTCACTTGAATTTTTGTGATGTACTTGTCTGTTATCGATATTGTTAGTGTTAATATAATTGTCTAGATAAATTAGCTGATATTCAAAACAGCATTCAATCGTTTAACTTATAATTTACTGCTATTATACTTTCAAAAATACCATATTCCACTTGATCGTCAGAATACCTTTTGTGATCTATCTATGTCTATGTAGTTTAGTTCTGAGTTGTATTATTACAAACACATTACAGAAATTATTATCTCATAATCTTTTAATATACAGTATTGCACAAATTAACATGTTCTCACAGAGCATATAGGAACGGTATGTTGTTATCCTATTGTTTATCAGAGTTTCCACTGAAGGATACAAATATTCGGTAGAGATTGAGATTTTCACCGTATTCATGTAAAAAATAATAATTTGTCTAGATATTACTGGTTAATAAAGGGTACAATGTGTTTTCTGTAGTACAGTTTCGGTCTGAGACAGTTTTTTTAGGTAGAGGTTACTAGTTCATATTTTCGCTAGATTTACAAATTGTTGAGTTTCGAAAAGCAGTATACAAGTGATCGTAAAATAAAATCTGATGTACCATCGTATTATTAAAAGTTTTTCTCTATAGAAAAACTTCTTATCCCGTTAAAAATTGAATTTTAATCACCACTCATTTTATAAAAAACTTATGACTCAAAAATACGGCTGTTACTGTACTCAAAGCGTTGTGAATACGTCGTAACTCGGTGATTGTTATGTTCATTTCTAAAAGCACAAAGCTCGAAAGACGTTTATGTTAATACTAGTAAGTGGAAGCCTCGTGTTCATTATCATGCTTTTCTGATATTCGCTGCACCTAATTTTTCATGATAAATAGTTTTGTAGCTACTTTTAAGATGAATATTTTTTGTAGATTATTTCTCAAAATAATGCCCGATACAATTCTTATATATGTAACTGATTGCGAGTTCTTTCCACTTTATTCCGGTTTTGTCTTCTTTACCATCTCTATAATAACTGGAAACTCATTGCTTTTCAGTCATCCTTCACGTCTAAACGTGACCCGTTTCCCTTAGTTTCGGACAAAAATCCTCTTGATGTATCACAACAAAAAAATGTACGGTTTTACTTACACATGATTGTTGTAGTGTGTGGAATTTATAATCTGTGTTTAAATTAAGTCTGAAACTATATCGTTTCAAAAGATCTACAAGTGAATAAATTAAGGTATTAGCATACCTAACTGAATTTACCAAACTTGTTGATTCAGTTGTTAAGCAAATAAGCATATCAACTGATGCCACGTAATACATAGCTTGTGGAGTACGATATATATTCCAGAATTGTCAGAAGAAAATCTCTATCTTTTGTAGTCTTCATAAATAAGTTGGGTGAGACTATAATTTATGGACGATTCAGTCAGATAGGAAATAATAGGTCGTGGACTTTGGGGCGAAATTTATTCATCAGTTTGGCTAAATAGCGTTTAAGCATTTTAGGTAATGTTAGTTCGTGATGAAAACCCCAAATCTAGTTCCTAACCCTGACTATCAATTGTAAATCTCACTGTATTTTTTAACCCTCGTTTAATCCGAGTTGGTAGGTGGATATTCTCAAGGTCATTTTAGCGTCGCCTAAAGGTCGTCTATAAATTATATTCTCATCATAAGTTGTAAAAATTTTGGGTTTTAATAACCAACTGACATCAGCTATAATGCCAAAACTCAATTAGCCAAATGGCTGAGTGAATTTCGCGCCAAAATTCGAGACCTGCTATCTTATACCTGATTGGGTTGTCCATAAATTATCGTCTCGCCTAGTTTATTACTATGACTTAGATGGCAGTAAACCGAATTTCGACTTCACTCATTTTTCTCAAGAATTATTATTTAGTAGTATATCTAGACAATTGGGATTTGGGTTGATTATTGTATACTGCTTATTATTCGTATGTTAACTTTCTGATGATCATGTCTTTTTAGATAGTGGATGTTAACTGAGCTAAATAATAATTATAATCATAAATCCACCAAAATATACTAGGTACAGTTTCATTCTCCACATTCGCTACTTGTTCTGCAAATCATTAAACGAACTAACATAATGTTTGTTTCCTATGAAGTAAACTTACTGTTCAGTTTTGTACATTTGTTTCTCCATATTATAGCTGGATTTTTAATTCAACTCTGAATGAATGGCATGGAGTAATAAATGGTCACTTATGGAGATTACGTCAAATGGAGGATTCTAACCCAGTTGAATATTATTTTGAGAAGAATTTGGGCATAAAATTAAACGATGTTCCTTTTGATTTACGTGATTACTTTAGACTGGATATGAATTTATCTGGTCTTGTGAAGGAATGGTCTTTGAAGGATGAATGGTTTGAGAATCGTTTCTCTAAAAATTGTCAAATGGATACAGCTCGTGGTTTACGCTTATTAAGACAAGATCCAGAAGAAACATTATTCTCTTTCATTACATCAGCTAATAATAATTTAACAAGAATTACTAAATTACTCTGTAAATTGTGTAGTGAATATGGTAATCCATTGTACTTGGGAAATGGTGATCTAAGGCATTGGACATTTCCATCACTTGAAATACTTGCACAACCTGGAATGCAGGATAATTTGAAAAAAATTGGTTTTGGTTATCGTTCCAAGTTTATTACGTGGGTGTTCATTATTTACAATTATTTTTGTGCTTATTTTGTGTGGCGCATGTATATTGGCGCTCTCTTGTACCAATATTTATGTGTTCAAATAATAATAATAATAATTTATGCTCACTGGAACCTTTGTATACAATCCTTTATATTATGTTTTATCATTAGTATATCGATACACTTTCTGATTGTCTTATAACAAAATATTCACTAAGTAAGCCTATAGAATCTCGTATCATCGATGTGAGATGCGTCTGGGAAACATGCAAACTGGATCCTAGCTCGGTCATCCACTTAACTTCATCCAATTTATATAATGAACTCGCCTGATCTATTGTTCTTGTATCTCTATATCCGTCAGTAACGTCTTGTGATCATGATAGGGATAGGCATAGTACTAAGTTTCAAAACGGAATAGACGCTTCTTAAATGCTTTTGTTGACAGACGTTGCCAGCTGTAGACTGTGATATAAGTAGGACTCAGAAAGGTGGGGATAAACGCCACTAGCTTTTCTGCCTACACCCTTTCTAACTGTAGCATGGAGGAAGTAAATGGTACATTCTATCGAAACTTTCTACCTATATATCAGAAGTAAGACCCTCAAGTGTAGAAATCGCTGCTGATGATTTTAATGTGTAACCAGTTGGTGTAATGGTCACGACCAAAACTATGCAGCTCAGAGAACAAAACTCCATCAAAATATTATCAGCGTTAAAACATAGACTTTTGTATACGAAGGGACATGAATTTCGGCTTCTGTCGTGCCCTTATATAGGCTGATGAGAGGTTTATTAATGTAGTCATCCTATAGTGTTTCGTTGATGCCCGTTACTGACACTCGTAACAGTTGATACACTTTTCATAAATTTCTGATTTGTACCCATGAGGAAAAATACTTTGTTGTTTGAAGTATCTGTCTGAAATGGATTGAAGAATTATTCTATAAATATCTGAAATATATTTGTTCATAAATTACGAGCCTTTTCCTGAATATCCTCATGTTTGAATTATTTCAGGCTTGCTGCTAACTGGCTTTTGAAAAATGGAGGTCGATCTCGTCTACTTGAACTTCGTTCCATGTCCCATTTTGAAGCTCAGGCATTTCTGCTTCAAATACCTGGAATCGGGAAGAAGGTCACTAAATTTTATTTTGTTCTTCCATATATTTCAAATACTTTCAATGATATTATTAACACTGATCTGTTTTCCTGACTGAAGTGTATACGATGAAGTGCAAATTATCTGACTTCATGGTTAAAACAATCAAATGTTCCAACTACTGATTTACTGCAACATCCTCTAATCAGCATTTAAGAATGGCTATTTTAAACCACTTCAAACACTGAATTCTATAGATATTTCATTTTCATCTCTTTCTATACTAATCATTGTCCATAGATTTCAATTTATCGTTTATTTGTAAGTTAATTTTATTACGAACTAGCGTATTAGTGGAAGAACTATTTAAAATATGCGAGTACTAGATGGCTTTGTGATTGTAGTTTAAAATTATTTAGCATGTAAAAACTAGTGATCCGGGGTTAAACTTAACCTTCAAATTTCACTGCAAGAAGGATATCTTTTGACTATTGAGTTATAATTCAATGGTACATATATTCAATTTGTTATATATTGAACGTACATTCAGGTAAATATGTCGTGATATTTTTAAGAAGCTATATTTTGACACATTTAATGGATACTGGTCACTGAATCGATGCGAAGTTAGCTTTCAAAGTTATGTGTAGAATTCTATCAAGCGTAGACTACACTTCCAGATCTCGTTTTTCGTGTAAAGCGGAAACCATGGGTTTGCACATAGATAAATCTACTCTTTGTGTGGAGAAAAATGTTTTCCATAATCTTAATTTATCTAACTCTTTCACTCGATTGCAAGATCATTCTTGCTGTTCTTAATTTGGTTCATTCTTATTTATTAACTTTATTTTAATATTATTTCCTTTGATAATCTGATCCTTTAAATTTCTCTTCATCCTTCCCAATAATTATCTATTAATATTATCACAAATAATACTAAACATAAACATTAAAATGAGTAATGTCCAACTTACTCTTACATTCCTTGATTCCCATTTTTATTCCCACATAGTTGGATGCAGTTTTCAACCAGTTATGTAATTTTGTCCTGAGTTTACACTGATGAGTTAATAAGTGATTACTGAAATATATATGATTAATTGGTTCATTACAATGCATTCGGTATTCATTTTAGATTTGTATATTAATATTAAGTCATGATTTAGAATTCATTGGAACGAAGTATTTTATCTCTAAAACTGAATTTTTCATATTCTTGACGTTTGTATTGAAATATTTAGATTAGCCAACTTTAATCAATATACTATGTAGATGAAATCATCATGTATTGTTATCGATGATAATTTCAGTCTCACTTCCGGCATAAATGAACGCTACGTACCACTGACTTTCACTAGACCTTCGGGAATTCGTCTTGAGTCCTTTAAATATTAAAATTTATATTTTTATCCAACATGTACGTACGTACGAAGTTCTACGTTGTTACTGACTGACTGACTGATCCAACATGAAGTCAATTTTCATTATAGAGAAAAAAAAACACCTATTTAGTGCTCTTTGATTTTTATTGATAAGTAACAGGTTATGTCAACTTGTGATGAGAAACTATCTGAAAACTGAGAAATATTCCGAAATATCTAATTTAATTTCTGACAATCGGTGTTTTCACCGTTAGTTCGCCATCTGACGTATACTATCTGATAGCGCATGTTTAATTGAAAATTTCCTCCAAATTTCCCTAACTTGACCACAATTTTGACATATGTTGTTTTTAAATGGTCTCTGTTTTACATAATAGTTTTGCGTTGTGTCTGTTTTATTACTTTCGAAAGTTATCCTAATTTACTGTACCAATATTTGGTTAACATGATTTGGAAGAGCAAACAGTCGTTAAATTTGTCATATGTATACTGTAAAGAAAACATTGAAACACAACATTAATACACTTTTGTTATTTGTTTTAATTTTCCTTAAGGTAAATTTTATTCTCCTTTTCTGTTATTGTTGTATTTTCACAGGTTGCAGATTGTATATGTCTTATGTCGTTAGATAAATTAAATGTTGTCCCTGTCGATGTTCATATGCATCGTGTTGCACGTGAGAAGGGAATTCCTGAAGCATCCTGTAAAAATATGACTACAAAATCATATGATATTATCTCAAAGTCTCTTAGTGATTTTTGGGGAAATTGTTCTGGATGGGCACAAACGGTAAGTTTTCATCTACTTCACACAATATTATATAATCTATTCCTGTAATTCTCACTTAACAAATTTATATCAGCTGAAGAAAATTAATCACTAAGTAGAGACTACATTTTAAAAGATTACAATAAAGTTATCAAGTCTGATCTATTGAATTAGGACTACACTACCCATAACAGAACAACATTTTACTGGAATCAGTTTATCCATATATATGAAGTGTACTGAGTTTTGATGAAACTAAAGCTATTAAACAAAAGACCGCTCTATTTTTGATTTCTTTTGATAACTATCTATGATATGATTCATTTCAAGATTATGTCGTTCAAGTTCATTAATTTATATAATTGTGCTCCTTTGCTGATATCAAAGAGACAAGACTACACATGAATTTCACTCTTTACATGTCATTGGACAGTCTTATTATGTATTTCTTAAGAGATTAGGACAAAATCATGTCATGTTTAACGATGTTGTTGAGTTAATCATCTTGAGATGTTGATAAATTAATTTCACTAAATGTCTCTTTGACCATCGCTGGCTTCACTAAATTGTTAAAAGTCAAATAAGTTAATTAAGCACTATTAACAGACAGTGATTTTTCATTACGTTAGATTATCCAAAAAATGAAGCGATCACTATCAAGTTTATTATTGAGAGAATGTTTCAGTGATTTATTATACGGAAGATACAGATGTTATGCGGAAATAAAGTGTTTCAAAGCAAATCCCGACTGATCGTGCTTTATCGTAACTTTGAGTTCCCGCCCGCGGGATTTAAACCCGAGACATTTTGTCTCACCCGCGAACACTTAGCCTCTAGACCACTGAGCCGGTGTGCCTAACTTCAACCATTCCACTATATTGCGTCCCATACTAGGACGAAATGGCCGTCCAGTGCTTTCAGGTTTTCAGTAGCTGTTTAACACTGATCGATTCATGATCTTAACTAGAACTCAACAATCTCCACAACCCTATGCTGATAATACGCTAGACTTTTATTCCTGTTTTAGACCATGTACACTGTTTTTGTAACTAGGTAGTTTTGGAACTGCATGTATTTTTAAGACATCAGATTGATGCATAATATTAGTACATAATGTTTATTGGTTATATATTTAATCATACGAAGTAATTTAGCTTCAGATTTAGGCAAACCGCTTACTGAAATTTGTGATTTATCTTTATCAAATTTCTCACTATACTTAATGAACGTTTTCCCAGTGAAGTGCTCATTTGTTTTGTTGTTTTTTGTCTACTACATCACTAAAAACGTTTTCTTTTATGGTCTTTAATATACATTAGGAAATCGTTTCTTCACTGAACTTGTCCTACTAGAACAGTGGAAATCAAGATTAATGGTTACATATCTTGTTTTTTAATTGATTCATTCGACTTATGTTAAAATAACAATAAAAAGACTGTTTGATAAAATCCCTTAAATACGTCATAACTGGTTATTAATTATTTGTAATTATTTAGATCCCATCGTTTTTGTTTTTAAGATTTGCATTGTAATCAGTCACGTTTGACATATATTCATTCCGAGCCGATTGTCTCGGTACTGTTGTTAAGTCAAAAGTATTTAAGTAAAGATGGATAATGATTTACAATGGAACCCAGGGCGTGCATTTCGTTCTAGTTTGAACTTGTAAACTGTATTTAATTGCATTCCAGTGTTTATTTCACTGGTAGTCTCTATCCAACTTTAATTAAATCAATTTACCTAATCAATGGAACTATAACTTATGTAAAATGAGAACGAATATTGCTAGATGAAGTTATTTCATTTCATCTCAAATTATTTGTTTTTGTCGCTTTATAAAAGTTTATCAAGGGTGCTAATTGTATGAACTATGATTCCATGTATTTCTCATTTACTCCTGATAGTACAACCAATCTAATGGTCAATCAATAAAATTATTGTGAAACATTATAAATTAACTAATTATTGTATTATTTGTTGTACTCATATTTTCTCTAATTTAATATTTCAGATTCTTTTCTATACTCGTATGATGGAATCGAAACCTAATAAGTAAGCTGATTGTTTAAAATGATTTAATTTATTTACTTTCGTAGTGCTATAGTTTGGTTAGGATCTGGGATTAAAAAGCAAAATTACAGTCCTTTACTCATTCTGATTTTTTTTTGTCCAAGAAACGATATTCATGTATTACATTAACATGAACTATGCTCAGTACAATACTCAGCATATGTTTTGCTATAGCTTCAAGTATTTTTCGTATATACGATTTCTACCTAATTATTAGTCAAAATGGGTATTATAATCAATATATAAATGAGTGTATTTTCGATTAAAGTCACCTTCGTGTTCTGGGATTGATAAATCTTCACTTTTATCAGTATTTGTGTTTTTACTTTCGCGTCGTGGGAATAGCGGTAGTTTCTTGTTTTACAAGTAAAGTAATAAGTGATTCCGACATAACAATTAGCGACGACCAGATATAAAAATCGGTGACGCAGTCATAACCGTCGACCACATGTCATAACGGTATCTAAGTTAAAAATTCTGAAATAATTATCACTTAAATAAAAATAACTTATTATTCGATTTATTGACATAAATAATTTTTCAGTAGTTTTGAAACTTGAGAAGAAACATTTAAATGGTTAGTTTATTATGAAATCTTTGTGAATCCTCTTTCATTGTTCAGACAATTGTCGGTACTCAGAAAAATATCGGCTGATATAAATTGATTGACAAAGATCTTTTTGCCAATTTGTGGCGGTTGGATCCTTATGTGATTCTAACTTATTCAAAATTTTCGTAATGTAATTTAGAACAGCATATATGACTGTATAAAATTATGTTCAGTTAGACCTTCATCAGACTTTAATATTTAATAACATATGCATATATTAAAAAATATTAAATCAGTCAATGTTCACATTGAAAGAGATTGTATAACTGTACGTAACGGGTAAAACTTACAAACTGATAATACGATGACAGGTATACTAGTAGTGATAAAAATGATAACAACTTGAATCATTGCTTCAATATAGAAAATAATTCAAAACATTAGAACATGGACATAAGAATAACAATCGTTAAAAATGATTATGATACTGGAAAATATGTAGTAAAGGCGGTGAATAAAAATCAAGGATGTAAAGAATAAGTAAAATCATTTTTTTAAATTTCATACTTGACTATGAAAGAAGCAGGGGCTTTTAAGTTTCTTAAGAACATATAAACTAGGGTTGAAGGTTTAATTCTCTATAGCTCCTACTATTTATAGAAGATGAAGTCATTTGCCGTTGTAAAACAACGAAGTTATACTTTAGGCCGTATATTAGAATGAAGCTTTATTTGAAAACCGTTGTCCGCTTATACGTGTTGTTCAAATTTATCGCATTTTTTCATTAATAATGTACACTAGATATATCTTTCTCAATACATCAAATTAATCTACATGGAATTCCCATTTAAGCCATTGTTTCATGCTTTTGACACCTGCATAGACAGTTATCAATTCTGCATATACTAGGCGTGATCCTATATTCTATATTGTACCAAAATCTAATACTGAATAAAGCCATTAATAATAATAATGATAATACAAAACCAAGTGTTAACCGCCATAGCTGTTCACTATACTGTATCGGTATTTCAGAAAATTCTCGTAAACACAAATAAATAAACCAGATTAACTAAAACGTTTTATAAAACAATGAGTTTTCGTATTCTTATATCCACGTCACTTATTAATTATACTTGGGAAAGCAATAAATTACTTCAATTCCGACGACGGAAAGTATGAAGAGCAAGACTGGTACAAATGAACATTTCTTAACCCCAAAAACACGACGACGACCCCATTCAGTAATACACTCACAATAAATATTGATTGTACACCCATTCCGATTAATAATTACGGTAAAATCACACATATAAAATATACCGAGAGTTATAATTAAATCACATGCTGCATGTTACACTAAGCATAGTCCATGTTAATGTAATACAAGAATATTGTACCTTGAATAAACGCATCAAACTCAATTAAATTAATGTTATACAGAATAAAATATCCCACTGGGAAACAAAACAAGCACTACACTAAATAATCGTTACAATGAATTAACGGAAGTAATGTAGAACAAAAGCCACAATGAGAAAAAGGATGTAATTTTGCCTACTTATTCCGTCATATCACCTTCCGTTCTTTTTGAGTGGATACATAGGAGTCCATTCATGGATTGTTGTTTTTCTTCTTACTTACTGGGATCTCAGCTAGTCGCGTGGTCGTGTTCCTGGTCCCTGATAGGTTTTTATTTTGCAAGCTTGATATTCCATTAGTATATCTTTGGCAAGTTTTCCAAATCTTGAGTAGCTACGATGTTTTTACAATCTCGTCTTTTTATATGATTACTGTGTCTCATCCATATTATTTCTTCCGCTTTCACTTCGTAAATAAATGTTTCACTTACCTATCGTGATCTGGAATTGCGGAAATCCCGCACCCAATGTGCTTCACCTGAATGAAAATTTCTGGTTTTGACACAACGTTGTTCATTGAACTGCGGTTTCCTTATTTCCATTTCCTTCGATCTTAGTATTAGATCTTGTGGCATAATTTGTACTTTTCTCCTAAACATATTTTCTATTGGCGATAATTCGTTCAATATCACTGGATTCAGTGTTGGTTGGCGATTTAGCAAGAACATTTGTATTATTTCTTTGACTTCCCTTTCTCTCCTTCTTTGTAATAATTCTTTTTAATCAATCAATAAGACGCTCCGTCTTATTCCATAGAAAAGGTTGATCCTAAAAATACATACCTCACCTTATCCCACGTATTTCCGTATCTGGCGGTAATGTTCCAGCAACTACGGAGCCAACACGAATTCCATAGATTCCAGGAAAAACTGACATCTCACTTAGGCACTTCTGTAAACGAGGTTGACCCAGATGTTGCTTGGAAAGTTATACAAACTGCTGTGCAAACAGCAGCGACATCTACTTGTGATTTGAACCAAAGGGTCACGAAAAAACGGTGGATTTCTACTAAGTTTATTGCACTGATAGATTCTTGTAGACCCAGCCCACCAGGCTCTGAACACGATGGAGAGCGTAAACAAATCAGATCTAGGTTAACCAAAAGTTTAAGGAACGACCACGAGCAGTGGTGGGCAACGAAAGCGAAAGAGATTGAAAAGGCAACGGCAGTAGGTAACACAAGACATCTTTTCAGACTAATAAAATAAACTGAAATTAACAAGTCAAGTGTGAGACAATCGCAGGAAAAGACGACACACTTATCTGCTGTCGGCTTAGACGTTTAGAGCGGTGGGTGAAACATTTTAAGGAGCAGTTCAGTTGACCTTCAGCTACTCTACAACTACCCATCATTCCCAGACAGCCTGAATGGAACATTGAAGTAGGTCCCTGAACTCCAGCAGAAGTTTAAAAGGCTATAGTTAATCTGAAACGAGGAAGGGAAGCTGGTCCAGATGGGTTGGCTCCATAGGTCTTTAAGGATGGTGGTTCAATTTTAGCGAGTAGGTTGACTAATATTTTAGCTAAAATCTGGGAGTTGGGTGTGATCTCATCTGTCTGGTCACAATCACTGAATGTCCCAATGTATAAGAAGGGGTCAAAATCATCATGTGATAACCAACGAGGGATTAGTTTAACTAAAATACTAGCCTCCATAATTATCGGATGCCTAACAAAGACTCGTAAACTGTGAATACGAGAAAACCAGGCTAGCTTCAGACCTGGTCGTGGCTGCATCGGTCACATATTCACCATTCGTCAGGTTCTAGAACATAGGCATACTTATCGGCGTCCAACAATGGTGGTCTTCCTTGACTTAAAAGCAGTATTTTACTCTATAGACCGAGAGGTTCTGTGGTAGTGTCTGTCATTGAAAGGTGTACCTCAGATATACATAAACCTTGTGGAGGCTCGTTACTTGAACACTACCAATGGAGTCAGAGCTTATGGCGAAATGTCATCTGATTTTGCAACCCCAAGTGGTTTCCGACACGGCTATCTAGTATCTCCATTTCTGTTTAGTTTCATCATAGACGTTCTGCTGGAAGTAACGTCCCAGTCGACTGAATTCTCAGGAATCGATCTCCTATCACGAAGTCCACTTATCGACTTAGAATACACAGATGACATAGTCCTGTTTGGTGAAGACGCTGATAAAATGCAGAGTCTTTTGGTATCACTAAACAGTAATGCCAGAATGTTTGAAATGCGCTTCTCTCCCTTTAAATGCAAGTTGTTGTTTCAGGACTAGCCTGCGTCAACACCTGAACTAAGGATATGGATTGAAGTAGTCGAACGCGTTGACAACTTCACTTATTTTGGAAGTCTGGTCAGTTCCTCCTGAATAGCTCTAGTAATAATGATGTCATCCCAGTAGGCAGAAACTCCTGGTATTGCACCTGTCGTAATACCAATAATTTGGAATATCATTGCCTTCACACTGAAGGGCGATTGTTGGTACTGATACTGATGCATATGGAACTGGTCTTTTAAGTTTGAAGACAGGTTAAATGTTCAATTGCAGACATAAAACTGCTTTCTTCACCGTTCAACACTCCCACTTCACTGAATATTGAACTATATTTCGACTTAATACGTTTAATAAGAGAGTTTATTTCGCTACTAGTGAATTTCTGAGTTGAGAGTGAAACCCGTGAAGAAATGAAATTTAGTAGCATATTCCATAATGAGAGATGCTATATCCAATCAATCCCAAGAAAATCGAAGTCATGACGATTTGTGGGGCAACATTACCTCAGGAACTTATAGACCTGAATAAGACATCATATTCAATTCCACCGGCCGGTTTTATTAGATCACCGAACGCATTTCTGTCTCCGTGTGACATGTGAGGACCCTAGTGTACGCAAAGTATCACGAAAAATCAGAGGAATATCTGACTGCGTGTCAATCTAAAGTCTGATAGTTATTCTATTTATCCAGATTTCAATATATTTCCTTTTTGCAGACAGTTGTACACTCAAAATATCAAAAACAATATTAACATCCTTACGTGAGACTGATTTGGATCTCTATTCACCGGAAAGTGAAGCACTATAACTCCGATATATCAAGATCTCTCCTGGTTGTAGGTTTCTGTTTCCCCAATTGTTATTATTACACTACCTTACACTAATCTGTTCGTTGTTCTTTTTTTTAACGCTCCTTACCTTTCATTTTTTCCCTTCTTCTCTTCAAATTCTCGTCGTTTTGTGTGGCGCATATGTATTTGGTGCCCTCTTGTACCAATATTTATGTGTTCAAATAAATAAGTATACGTATTATTGTCAAAAAATTGACCTTTATGCATCTAGTTACCATGCGTCGGTTTCTAGTTGTCTCGCTAATTTTAGAGTAGAGCTGTATGTTTCAGTAACTTTGTGAATTAATTATGTTTCCTGGTCAACTTTAGTTTTATTTCAGCCGAATAGTGAACTGTAGCTAGTATTGTTTGAATATGCTCTAAAACTTTTTCGTGCGTAGTCAGGTGATATAAATCCAAAACTTCATCAACTGATGACATTGTTTTTGCCTAGTTATCTTTATAAAATATAAGGATATCCTTCCAATACAGACGTAAAGGTGACGATTGGAAAGGCAAGGACCGCATTCGTACAGTTCAATAACAAATGGAACTCAAAACAACTGTCAACCAACATCAAAGTGAGAATCTTCAATACGAACGTCAAAACAGTTCTACTGTATAGAGCTGAAACTTGGAGAACTACAACCATCATCAAAAAGATACAAGTACTTATAAACAGTTGTCTACGCATGATACTCAATGTCCGTTGACCGGATACTATGAGCAACATGTTACTGTGAGAGAAGACAAAGCAGCTTCCATCTGGAGAAGAAATTAGGAAAAGACGTTGGAAGTGGATAGAACACACTTTGAGGAAATCACCAAACTGCATTACGAAGCAATGGCTAACTTGGAATGCTGAAGGTAAATGGAAAAGAGGAAGACCAAAGAACACATCGCGCCGACAATCGGGAGCAGACGTGAAAAGAATGAATAGCGACTGGATAGGATTGCTCAGGGCAGAGTTGAATGGAGAGTGCTGGTGAGTGGCCTATACTCCTCCACGAGGGGTAACAGGCGTAAGTAAGTAAGCACTTATTGATCAAACCAAGTTTTGTCAAATAATCTTATATACTGTTTTGTCTAGTTTTTATGTATGGAATTTGGTTGTTCCATTTTAGAAAACTAAAGCAACAAATCAGTCGTGTTGATATCAACATTTAGATTGTTAAACACAGGAGAGTGAAATTAAATGAATTTTGATTTATTGTTCACCACCTCAGTTACTACTGAACATTTAAATTTGAATATTATTTAAACTACTTTGTCTTGGAAACTTTATTTATAGATGCTGGATTCTAACAAATAAAATTATACCTTGAAGTGAATAATAATTTTTAAATTCATTATCGTTTGCGTGACACACAAACTTCAAATAGTTTACTAATCATTTTTTCATCTTCATCTGTGTGGTTTATATATAATTTACATTTTAATTCATTTCGGGTAGTTAACCTAGATTTTGAGCGGTTTATTCATGGTGCATTAGGTTGGTTCTGGATAGTGATATAACTTTATTGCGAAGATAATAGTAATGTTAACGATCTTTTCAATTTCGTTACTTGCTTATTTCTACTTGTCCCACCGATTTTCCAGTCTTACTGTCGATGGATTATTGGTTCGTGCATACGTTATGCCTTGGGCTTTCATTTCATCTGTTCACTTATTTGGTGGGGAGGGGATTATGCCAGTCTATACAATGTTTAGAAGTGTGAAGAATTCAAAGTGCAATTATGCTATCACGTTTTCCTAAGTATTTGCGTTGTCTGACGGCTGCAATGTAATCTTGAGGCAGAATAGCCCTCTGCCAGTACATCATATTTTAACGCTTTCTAGAGTTAACCCATCCTGATTTTTGTGGAGTAGAGTCTTCTTACCTGGAGATTTGTTTACATTCAACGAATTATTGAGTCGATAAGACTTAGTTCCGATTTATCCGTATTAAGAAATTTCATATTAATTCTCACGTTCAATACTAAAAAATGTAAACCATTTCTATTGCCACTGTTACTGTTTTAGTTGGTTCTCAATGGCGACTTTTGAAGGTTTCTGTTTCCAGGTTGGTGAAAGTCGCATTTTCTCTGAAGCAACATTAGCTTCGTATTTAGTGGATTCTCTCCAAATTATTGTCCAGCATTCGAAATTGGTCGACCAAATTCCATAAAGCAAATGCTTTTTGTGAGATGTGTTCGAACTATCAAAAGTAGGTTTCGTATATGATGGAGCTAAAACTGTGACAGTGATATTTGAGAAGTTCGAGAGAATAGGTTGGTTATGATATAAAATTGGTTCTGAAACAAGTAGGGCATGGGAAAAAAGCTAGGCTCCTTCGAGTCTGCCCGCCGTTTCCTTTCAACGACCTTGAACGGCCTTTGTAGAGGCGGTAGAAGCACAAAATAACTGCTAAAAACGTCGATTTGGCATTCTGTGTTTTGTAGTGTGCACTTTAGCTCTGTTGTTGCTTCGTAACTTAATCTGTGATCCCAACTGCTGTAGTAAACGTCAACACCTTTATATAATTTGTTGATAAGGTCCACAAAACAATGTAAGAAAGATAAGATAACGTTAAACGTTATAGATACACAGAGTTTTTGTGAGTCGCTGTTAAATAAAGAAGGAGAAATGTCAACTCAACGACAAGTCCTAAATATTTGTTATACTTCTTTCAGTTGTTTTTTCCCAAGAAATAACATTTTAATAGTTAATACGTGTTGTCTGTAGTGCTTCATGCTCAAGTGAAATTTCAGTGGACGTAACTTAGGCGTTTCAACGTATTATGCTGAACAAGCGACACGGAACCTGGGTTGAATTTGATTATGTGCTAAAGGATTTCCATAAATTATGGAAGAATAATTCTATGTTTTCTCAGATTACTCATACGCGCTATGTTCACGCAGAAAGTAAATTGTTGAAGGATATGAGATATGAATACTTTTTTGTGGCGTTTCATTGCATGTGTGGTCGTAAACGTAAATCAGCAGGTCTGATAGTGAATAAAAAACCGTGAGGACTTTAACTAATCTGTGACATTTAAGGTCCATGTTTTTAAACTGCCAATCTAGGTTTCGTATAAGATTGGAAGGTCAAGAATACGTCATAGAATCTTACAATATGTCTCACTACCATCCTTGTAGTAGTTCATGGATGGTTTGTGATCCGTGGAGTAGAAGATTGTCATCCAAAGAAAAGCAAAACTTGAAGCCAGTAATATTGCACTCAGTCAACAGATGAAGTTATAGAAAGTATTAAGGAGAGAACTAGTAAGCAGGTTATTGCTGCTGATGTCAAAACTATGAAAGCTAAACTCCACTGGTAAGTGTATAGAAATATATTTCAGGTTGTACTCGAAAGCACGTAATGCATATGCTGCGACAAAACAGTGAAGTTAGGGAGCATGTAGAAAGTATTATGAAGTGGATCTAAGCACTTGTGAGTGCAATTATAGAATATTTGTTACGTGTCGATATCCTTGCCGCCATCTGCTACTGGCATATGTTAAAAGACGAACTCATTACTGACAAGCTTAATCACTTATATAAATATAAACTACATAGCTCATCAAATTCTTAGGCATTGTTGTAGATGGAAGTAGTACTTTTGAAAGTTGAACTGCAGTGACATTGGCATCATTCCCAGAAATGAGTTTCACATTTTTTGGGTGTTAGTATAAAAATATGAGGATCCACTGTTGTGGAATCATCACAGTAAATAGTTTGATCAGTCTTTCAATTTTAGTCCGTGTTTCCCCCTTCTAAATGCAAACTTGTCGCCGAAGACCTAGACACTGTTGGAGGGACAAGGGAGATATTTGGTGATGAGGCTTAAACGTAGTAAACGACGGTGATTTTTCAGTTACCTTTAGTATAACTAATAGATGAAGAGTTACGAAGATAGCCATTCTCTTATAGTGTTCGACATAAGTGAGGTGTGTCTTCGGAGCCTTTTGTTCGTTTATCTAATGCTTCAGTCCTCCACACAAAGTTCCATTTACTTTGATCAATTTGAGTTATCTTTATATTTCTTCTGTGAGTATGCTACTGCATTGCATCTTGACTGATTGGACGATATTAGAAAATAAAGTGAAAGTTAAAGCTACAAGTGAAGTTCTCAACCTCGATTTCTCTCTTCTAGTTATTATTCACTCACAGAATAGACGATGAAATGCTAGATGTGATACACATGTTGAACACTGAAGGGTAGATGTACTAGATAATTCACGGACACGTCCTTTTCCGTTTGATAGTATCAATGAACTGCATGTGATACATTGTAGTCCAAAAGAAACTTAAAGTTGCACTGAATGAGAAGTTCCTGAATATTAAAAGTTTGCTCGATAACTTATCCTTCTGTTGTAGTGACTAGTGCTATTTTCAAGCCCATTTACATTGTTCTAGCTCTCGAACAGACCAACTCATTCACATTTCCAAAGCCACATTTTGACCTTGTTAGTTATTCACCTATTAACATTAACTGCCTTTGTATGAGCGTATGGGTGTGTATTGCTTACTCTATTCAACACATGTCTATAGCTTATTTTTGTCTGACTATAAATAATGAGTTTCTTTTTATCGACCCGGGTTGGCTTGCTATCCTTCTCCGCTTCGAATCACTTTCTCATATATATATTTATGTGTTTGAATCTCACTAGTTGATCCGAATCTCCATTCAATTCTTTATTCGACTCTTAATTCGCTTCTGTATTTTCTTGCTCGCCAGCTCCTGTCAATATTTCCACTCGAATTATTTTGGTGTTCCTTTGGCTTAGTTATTTGAACTGTTTGATGATAAACTGCAATCGGCACTTCCTGTTGTATTCTAGATCCATACACTGTTCGGACTACTTTAATAACGGTTTTCAGGGCGATTGATGTACGAAGACTCAGGACTTGTATGGAAGCCAGTTCACTACAGCATAACACCACTTCTCATGTTCTGCGAATTTAACTAAAGTAAGGAAACTGGTAAAGATTGAGAAATCAGACAATAGGTATAGAAAGCACTGTGGATAATTACAACTTCCACAAGCAAGCTTCATATTTAGTAATCCTTAAAAAATAGTGGAATTTCCGTATAGGTCCTTTTGTTTGAACGCAATTGCTCATATTGTCAGGTTTGCGCTCTAGAACCACCTAGAATGAATTCTTGTTATTAAAAGTTTCGGAGGTTTTGAATAGTAAGAATTATCGTAAGTGCCCTTAAGACTTTATTGAAATGAACATCGTAGTAATTGTTTGTTGTAGCACTGTAACCGCTGTATTATCATGATTGACTTTCTATTTCCGCTGTTTTCGGGGTCTATTATAATTACTCGTGCGACTGATCATTTAATTTACGTGGGGAATATGTTATCCAGAACTACACGATACTTGAACCAGGTGTAACAATCCTTTAGCTAGTTAAAGAGGAATTTCGGTCGCACTGGTTAGTAAGTCTTCAAAATAAGTAGCGATACTTCGATACTGATGTTGACGTTAATAATCCTGTCAATTACAGCATTATCTGTGGGCTTTCTGTCAAGCATCCCCACTAGGTCACGCCTGGACACTCCGCACTGAACGTCTCTAAAGACCACTAGTTGCTTTATATTCCATAGAATACAATATATTGATTTTACTTCTCATATACATTTGCATTCCATCCCCCTTAAATTTTCATTTGTCTGACTTTGGAGTCGTTCCGCAAAAAGAGGTATCAATTGGTTGGTCTCCGTGATCATCTTTACAGTTTAGTATAATGTCCCAAAAATCTTACTGAAGAAGGTGAACTACTGACTCTCTGAACTAGGTGAAACCGCTGAAATTGGTTCAATATGAACGCACGTCCGTACCGTGAAGAGGTATATCACGCATCTCTGTTTGTCTATGCTGACAATACGTTTGCCTTATTTGGACATAGTACACATTTCAATTATCAAATCCTTTTGTATATACGATATCCAGCCTCCTTATTATGAAATAGTCATGAACTCACACTATTCTGGTCTCATTTGGTCGAAAAGATTTATTCAAAGTATGATACAATATAAACTTAATTTTCATATCATTAATCTCTGTGGCCGATAATATAACGGATCATAATGACATAGGAATAAATAGACACAAAAATTTATCGAAAAAATAATAATTAACTTACTTGCATACATAAAAACTAGACAAAACAGTATATAAGATTATTTGACAAAACTTGGTTTGATCAATAAGTGCTTACTTACTTACGCCTGTTACCCCTCGTGGAGGAGTATAGGCCACTCACCAGCACTCTCCATTCAACTCTGCCCTGAGCAATCCTATCCAGTCGCTATTCATTCTTTTCACGTCTGCTCCCGATTGTCGGCGCGATGTGTTCTTTGGTCTTCCTCTTTTCCATTTACCTTCAGCATTCCAAGTTAGCCATTGCTTCGTAATGCAGTTTGGTGATTTCCTCAAAGTGTGTTCTATCCACTTCCAACGTCTTTTCCTAATTTCTTCTCCAGATGGAAGCTGCTTTGTCTTCTCTCACAGTAACATGTTGCTCATAGTATCCGGTCAACGGACATTGAGTATCATGCGTAGACAACTGTTTATAAGTACTTGTATCTTTTTGATGATGGTTGTAGTTCTCCAAGTTTCAGCTCTATACAGTAGAACTGTTTTGACGTTCGTATTGAAGATTCTCACTTTGATGTTGGTTGACAGTTGTTTTGAGTTCCATTTGTTATTGAACTGTACGAATGCGGTCCTTGCCTTTCCAATCGTCACCTTTACGTCTGCACCAAACGTCATTACAGTAACGTTGACTGAATAAAGTAATAAGATATTTTGTCCGTTCTGAATTATAATTAAGCTTTTACTTACGCGAACAGCAAGTGTAATACAAACTTAATAATCCGAAGCTGCATTATGTAGGTATAAACTAATTTTAAATAGAATAAAACAGTTTGAAAACAGTGGTGTTCAGAGAGTTCTTCGTTTGTATATCTCAAGCATCATTAGTTTAGAGGAATAATAGTATAAGGTTAACAGACAGACAAGTGAATAAAGACATTATGATAGTGTACATATAAGCTATCAGAATGGATCACAGAAGTTGTAG